AGGGAAAGCACACGCCTCGGACCTGTTCTCCCTCGCTGGCCCTGGCGGGGAGGTGGATCCGTGGTCGGAGTTGCCTTTGGGAGAAGCGAGAGCCCCTCTTGAGTCTGCGCCAAGCAGCCGGTGGCTCTCAACCCTACCCCCTCGTGCACAAACTCACGGGGCTTCTCCTGACCTCGCCTCCTTGCTGCTGTGGCAATATGGCTACGAGACATGAAAACGCTTTTAATAAATAGGATCCTACACAAATATTCTTGGCTTCAATCGCACCTTGAGCGGCGCCCTGGCTTTCGAACAAGGAGCAAACGCCACGTGCCAGCCGCTGCCACCCACGCCTCGCTGCTCTGCACCAGCACCGTGGTCCTGAGCACCCTGGTGGGGGCTCCTGAGTGTCTCATTGAGGCCAAGACCTCTCCCACAGCCCTTGCCGGGCAGCAAGCGTGCCCCGATGGCAGAACCTCCTCGCCACAGGCGCCTCTCGGGAAGCATCCTTCAAAAACACGGGATCGCTTTTTGTCCGCGACAGCAAATCAAAACCCTAAACATCTGCTACGACTTGCAACACGTTTCAAGTGCAATCGAACGAAAGCTACAAGATAAATATTCAGTGAGGCTTTCTGTTTATTCCTCTTAACTGCAGGAAAAATTAAATCTTGTAATCAGTGCTAAATCAGAGCAGTCGGGAGATCCTACCAACAAATAGAGACACTGGCTGGAGGAAACGGGAAGAAAACTGATTCAGGAAATACGCAAAGAAAAAAAATAAAAATCATTTCATGATTTTAAAACCTGTATTTTCAACATCCTTCGGCCCTGGCTGGGTTGCTGCTCCCTCGCTGCCGGGGAGCCCGGAGCAGCCCTGCGAGGCCCCGGAGCTGCTGCCAGGCTGCACTTCTGAGGGAACAACACGACAGACGGGAGGGCTGAGATACTGAAGGGAAGACCATGAACACCCACACAAATCCCCACGGTAACATCCGCATTTCTCAGTGCCTGGCCCACGTTTTGGGAGACGGGCTCACTGCTGCTCCCTTCCCTCCGCACGCCAACCTCTTCCAAGGTTGCTTCGGCCACAGCCCCAACACCGGGGCGGCGCACGCCAGCGCTTGCTGGTACCCACGGATCTCGATACTGAAGGGAAGACCATGAACACCCACACAAATCCCCACGGTAACATCCGCATTTCTCAGTGCCTGGCCCACGTTTTGGGAGACGGGCTCACTGCTGCTCCCTTCCCTCCGCACGCCAACCTCTTCCAAGGTTGCTTCGGCCACAGCCCCAACACCGGGGCGGCGCACGCCAGCGCTTGCTGGTACCCACGGATCTCGTCCCAGCGAGGCAGACGGCGCTGCGGTCCCCATCGCAAGGATGCTCAGACGTGTTGGTTTACTCCGAGCAGCTGCCAGGAGCCGCGGCTCAGCTTTTCGTGCCGCAATGGGACAGGACCGACCCACTTCCGGCGATGTTTCCGCGCTCTCCTGGAGCGTGGTCCGGACAGTCCCATTGGAGCTGAGCACTTCTCCGGGCCACGATGGTGGTGACGAACCCTCAAGCCCTGGCTGGACGAGTCTCTGCGTGTGCTGGGGGTCAGGGCTCGCAACCAGCCGAGGGGAGAAACAGGAACCTTCGTCTGGCTTTGCGGTCGCTTTGAGGGGAAGGTAACGCGGTGTGTGATTGTCTGGAGAATCGGCAGCGCGGCGAGCAGGATCGATCAGGGTCATTTGGCACGTGGACAAAAAAATCTTCCTACTCCCTGGTTATCAAATCGTACAACGTACAACCTTAATTACACGATTTTGGTCCTTCACTACATACTTATATTAACATTATTTCTTCACAATAATGATATCTAACGCAAAAAAAAAATACTGTTAAGGAAGAAATAAAATAAGAAAAGAATTAGCAAAACAAATTACAAGGTATGTACAGATTAAAATAAATTCCATCAGGAAAAGAAACAATTCTTTTATTATTTTCCGTTGGCCCCTGTGGGAATAATTTAAAGGCCGAGCGCCTGGCAGGGCAGAGGCAGACGTGCCGGGACGGGGACGTCCCATCTCCTTGGCAGAGCCTGGTTCCTTGTGGTGTTGGCAGCTCTCGGGCTCTCCTCACCACGAGCTTTGTGCAAACATCTGAAGCAGTTCGGGTTATGGTGACTGCTGGTCTCAGAGCCTCGGGCACTTTCACAGAGTGTTGTGGAAAACCAAAAGGGAAGGGTAAATTTTATCGGGAAATACGACGATGCTGCTAATTTGCCTGTTGTTCCTCCTGTACCAAACCTACCCCGGATACTTTCCACCCCAGACAGGCTGAGGGTCCTGGTCATCTAAAAGCAGCCCCATGCGCACTCTTGGGTGCAAAGAGCGAATCACCGAGGTATCGCTCCTCACAGCACCTCTGCTGCATTCGAGCAGCTCTCCCCTTTGTTTTAGCATGCTGGAACGAGGCTGCCCCGCTGTGTTGTTTCTCCCCTCTGGGCTGGCACAGGAGCCTCTGCCTGTTCTTGCCAAGCCAAGCAGGCAGAGAAGCTCCACATGTCAGGTATTTGCAGGCAGGTATGAAAACAACTGGGTGCTGCGTCTCTGGAATTGGGCATTATCGCAGTTCTCACCTGCTGCAGAGCTTACTAGAAGCACACTCGGCACCAAAATATGCTGAAATTAATGGGAGAAGTTCCCCATGACTTTGCTGGCTTTGGCCACAGTCTCCTAATAATCTCACTCATAAAATATCTGTGAGCAATTTTAGAGTCAGAGAGAAAATTTGACCCCTAGATATGTGCTTGAAGAGAGGGCTGGAGCCCCAAGGTTGCTGAAGCACAGAAATTTGAAGCTTTCTGTTTAAATTACAGGCCCAATAGGGTGCAATGCACAAGCAACGATCCAGCATACCAAAACAACTGCAAGAGCCAGAAACTTCTTCCACAGTTCCCAGGTACTACCAACAGCGAACGGGTGTCACTCTAAAAACCCCGGGGAGAGAAAGCAGCTGTGCCTGAACTGCCCTTAAGGGGAGACTCGCCCGCCACACACACGCTGCCTCACACGCAGCCCCAACCCTCTGGGTTTAGCGGGGATCTCCTCGCCTGGGAAAGCCCAAACGTTTTCAGCGGCTCAGGTGCGGGGCTCTGAGGCCAGCGCCAGGCAGAATGTCACCATCCCCTCGCCCGCAGAGCACGGCTTGCTCTGCCACGCTCCCAGTGCTCAAAGTCCAAGCAGCAGCTTGGGCTCGCAGGCACCACCAGAGAGGGAAAACACTCTTCTTCACCTTGTCGGCACAGAGGCGAAGACGCCGCGAACGACGTATGTGCAGGACACATGGATGACCCCAACCTGAGCAGCGCTCCAGGCTGAAGGTTCCTCAGCAGGGACGCTGCACGTGGCGTATCACAACTGCAGGGGCAACGTGGCCTCGCGTTCGAGGGGCTCCGCGCTGTGCCAGCGCGTTTTGTCAGGAATGAAGGACAGGACGGCATTTCTGTGGGAGTGTAGAATTCCAAATTCTTTTGGGGGTTCAGTTAGATGGGTTGAATCTACCCTTCCCTGGTATAACTCCAGTGGCGACGTCAGAATTGCAGCAGGGACAAGTCACACCTGGCTCTTTCCTTATTACTTCACTACTCAGCTGAACTGAAAGGAAATGCTACCGAATGGTTTCAAGCTGTCATTTACACGCAGGCTTTACTGGCTCAGTGACACCGGTTTGTAACATTAGAGGGGCCAATATTTGATTGCACTGTTGCAGTTTGTGTCTTGCTCATGCTATTCCTACAGACTGTGAAATCCTAGGGCTGCATCAGGGTTATCCAGTTTCGGAGAGGTTCCTTCTGATAAATTAGAAATCAAATCTCTGGATAGATAAAAATGCAGGACTCGTAGGTCGGATGCGACAGGTTTCCTTCTCAGTCGAAAGTCCAGACGACTCCCTGAGGCCCTCTCATCCATCTTCTCTTTGCTAGGCTTTTTGCTAGGATAATTGCAGCACCACCGCCTCCTCGCTTGGACTCTGGCCAGTGCCTTGTTGACCTCTCAGAGGTGGTTGATGGGGTTAAAGGTCCCCGACTCTGAAGCTGCTCCTGCCATGTCCAACCAAGCACCCAGCGAGTTCTGGGAGGACGCGTGGAGGGGAGCGTTCTCAGACAGGGACAGCATCATTGCATAAGCCTGGAGGTAAAAAAAAAGAGCAATGCAGAGGACACGGGTGAGCAGACAGGCAGGACAGGCTGTAACAACCCGCGTGAAGCGCGGGACCATCTAACCACACATGCCAATTACTTGATTTTGTTCTCCACTGAAGTGCATCCCCAGAGAAGCGAGTGGCCAAGTGAGGCGACACTCCTGTTGGGGTACATCTATTGCTGCAGTGAACTGCTTAAAAGCATTTGCTGGAGAAAATGCATCGACACTTCAATTTTCCCTGTAATGATCTGCTTGCTTCTTGCAAGCCCGATGCTCCCCTCATCCAAGACTACTTGTCTCACACACCTTTGGGTCCTCCCACAGCCCACACGAGGGACGTGAAGACTTAAACAGATGCCGACCTCACATTCTGGAGGTGAAGGCCAATGTAATTGCCACCCATGATCTGAAACAGAGGAGCACGCAGTCCCCACGGTCCCCTGGTCCGTGTCAGCCGGTGTAATGTTTGCTCCTACTCCGCAATGGAATTGTGGCCGTGCAGCCCTCTCCTTCCCGCGGAGCTTACACCCACCCACAGCCCTCTGCAGGGCAACCGACGCCGACCACGCGCTATCAGGGACGTCGGTACGACACTCGGGCCGGTAGAACCCTCAGTAATGTAACAGTGACAATAAGAAGCAATTATCCAACTTCAGCCTCTACTCTTATCAGCTGAGAGTCAGATCTACTCATCTTGAAGAGAAAGACAGACGCAGTGGAGCGCCGCGCTGCCCACACCGATGCTGCCTGACCATTACGTTTCCTGCACAAGAGACACTTCGATTTATTTAAGTTGCTTATTGTGATTTGTGTGTAACCAGTCCTGCACCTCATACGTTATAAAACTGATTCAAAAAACCCCCATTGTTAGGGCTTGGACCTATCAAGGCAGTGTAAATTTTAAAAGAGCAAGCTGTTCCTGAGCAGTTAGTACATTTGGCATATTAGTAACAGGACACACGTAAGAGGCAAGTGGCTTGTATCTACAGTAGTTTCACTGGGAGAAATCTCTGCTCTATCTTCAAGCAGGGCTTCCCCAGCCTCAGCACTAGCACTTACTACAAAGGAGGACAAGAATTTCACAAGTTTTGGGTGACGATAAATCAAAAATCATGCTCTACTTGGCAACTGCATTATGCTACTGCTTTGCTGGACAGATTTCAGTTTTATGGTTTGCTTGTAGAAAGCAGGGAGATAAACGAGGAAGTCCTCTGGACTCGCTGGACTGCAAGTGCTGGAAATACTATTCGCTATTACATCTTCTGTCATCAAACCGAAAGATTCTTTATTACTGTTTCTGCAGACCAAACCTTGAGTTTCTTAGCACACACCAGCCGAAGACCCATTCCAACATATAAATAAGTTATAAAAACATTTATACAGACAGATAAAAACAGACAGACACCTCTATCTTTCTATGCAAGCATACTCTCGCAGCATAGGCTAAACAATAAACCAATCTGGTGACCTAAAGCTGATGCCAGCTCCACTTCTCCTCTATTTCAGTATGGTTGCCCCAAGACACGGTTCACACGGGATTCATGTGTTACACTCAGAGCTCCTGCTCCCTGGAAGGGGAAAATCAACCTGGGCTAAAGGAGGCCAGCAGCTTGCTGATCCTATTGTACGCGCTGGCGGCAAGCTAGATCAAACGTTCTGTCATATACCCACCTGGTTTTTAGCCTGCCTGTACAGAGTCTGTTTTATTGTCTCAGAGTCTAAGGTGGAATTAAACACATCTTTAACTTCAAACGCTTCCTCGGCTGCTTTGCGAAGATCCAGCCCCTTCCCAAAATTCGGCATCTGCTCCAAATCTAACAAGCCGGCTTCGTCCTCCTCAATACACCTGTACCAATGACCAGGGGAAGGGGTGGACCCGTGGTTAGCTCATCCCACCGTTCACACCTAGCCCGTGTGCGTGGTGCTGCCCCAGTGCCGGCATGCACATACCATGGGGGGGTCTCACAAGCCACATGCGTGAACCGACAGACAGACAGACAGACACAGAAACGACACAGAATGCGAGGAGCGAAGAAGTGGAGAGCACGACTGCGCACGGACAAGCATCAGTGCGAGAGACATCGGTGACTTGCCGGGGCTGCAGGTCACCGGGCTCTTCTGGGAGGAGAGGCCTGATTGCTGCCCACCCCCCGAAATGTCTGATCGAGGTCTGAAGAACGCTGCTGCGTTTTCTTTGGAAATCGTGATGCCCTGGAATCGAGCGAGACACTCGTTGGGAAACTGAGGCAAAAAGAAAGCTAAGCCTACGCTACCTGCAGCAAACTTCACTCTTGAAGGTGTCTAGACACGGCTTGACCTTGTGGGGAAAAAATAGTAAAAAAAGCTCCTCTTTCTCCCAGAGCTCTGAGAACGCCACTTGAAATCAACAATTTGCCACAACTAAAGGGGCAGCGCAGCACAGGAGGGATGCGCATGGATGTCTCCTCCTTTGCCCTGACCAGTGTTTTAGAGAGGACGACAGTCTCCGCTCAGCTGTGGTGCCCTGAAAATGCTGTTTGCTGTGCTGAGCTAACCGTTCTCCTGATACAAATCCCCCGAGTCTCGGACATACACCTCATCACAGCTTTCCCTTGCAGTCCACTTGCTTCGTGTCCCCCACCACGGTGGAAATGGAATCTCCCGAGTGAATGCTTAAATCAAACCGGAGGCGTGACACATGGCTCGAAAAACAAAAGGACAGCACTCACAGGCCACCACTGACACGGGGCAGAGCTCTCGCCCCACCTGAGCTCTCCAAGGGAACGGCCCGGCCTCACCTTCGGCTGTGGTCAAAGCTCATGGTGAGAGATGTGGGCTCCTCATCTTCCTCATCCTCAAACGCTCCTCGGGGCTCTGCGGTGGGTGAGACCGTCTCATCCTGTGACTTCCCTGTCAGGCTGTCGTCATCTTCCTCTTCCAGTTCTTCGTCTTCATCATCCACATCTTCTGTTTTCTCATTTGCTAACCCGTGACACTGGGAATTGCCATCTATGTCCTGAATTTCTGGCCTGAAACATTTGGTCGAGGAGGGTAAGAAGAAAGAAAAGAAATAAAAGGAAAGATGCCAAATGCTTAAGTCATGTATTTTCACTGTAGTGCAAGACTCTGATAATTTTGTACAGATGTATAAATATAAAGATATATTTATGTACATATACATATTATTTAAACTGCAAAGAAAAGGAAAACATACATGTTTCAGGCATTTAAAAATCAGCCTTCACACTGTCTTAAGGACTAATAAGAACATTAAACACCAACAAGCCCAATGCTTATCAGACTAGAATTTTGTCTAGTCTGAACTTAAATGACAGTTTTCCATTGTTTTCCACATCAGAGCTGTGACACATGCCCCACCAGTGGCTCCCACGTCTCCACCCATGAACAGCTCTCCAGTGCCAGTCCTCCTAACCTAAATCACTTTCCCAAAATGCTTAAAACTGTGCTTAGGGCTCAAAGCCGAACGCATTTTCCTTCCAGACTGTTACATTTCTCTCTTCTGAGCCTTTTAAATCAAGAACAGGACATTGGCCGACTGGTCTTTCAACCATGTTAACAACACGTGTCACCAGATAATTTTATTTGCTTGTCTACCTTTTATCTGCTAAAGTTGACGCTTGATTCATCTCACTATTTGCAATAAAATTTCTGATTTCAGAGAAATACGAATCCTCTTTTTCATCTAAAAGTGCATGGTTGTCTGATTCCGAGTTTGGGGAAGAGGCACTGGTCCCAAGGTGGTTGGTAATGACTCCAGAGTGCTGGCTCACTGAAGGGAAGGAACAAGAACAGAAAACAGGAGAAACAATCAGATATTGTCAAAGCTGTTATTAAGAGGAAAAATACAGGAGGAATGTTATAGAACAATCCTTTCGCTATGTATTAATGATTTAACATTTAAGAGAAATCCCGTGGACCAAAGCTGCCAAAGGAAGCTCACGTTTTCCAGACTTGAACCACAAAGAAATCCAGGTGATGCTTTGCATTTCTTGATGGCATATACGATTTAGGAACCACTATCCTTTGCACAGCTCTTTGCCTACAACTTAACTTTTCCATCCTTCTCTTTTCTCTCTCTTTTTTTTTTTTTTTTTTACTTAGGCTGGGAAATCACTTATGCTGACTTCAGCACAGGAATCCCTTCCTTCAGCTTTTATCTTAAGGCAAGGTCTACTTCTCTTCTGGAACTTCACACACATCTACAACAGCATTTCAGGTTGAAAACCCGTGGTGGAGCTTGACCTCTTCACACCAGGACTGCACCAGGAGATCTCATGGTGTGAGGTTCTGCTCCTCGGACAGAGGCTCCAGGAAGTCAGTGTCACCATCTCTACTCCAGGGACTGGAGAAGGCCAGCTGCGAGTAACACCCGACAAGAGCTTGGCAGACCTGAGCACTGCACACGAGTCCCTCAAACCTTTCCTTATGAGGAAAGGCTGACAGACCTGGGGCTTTTTAGTCTGGAGAGGAGAAGACTGAGAAGGGAATCTAATTACTGCGTATAAATATATGAGGGCTGGGCGTCAAGAGGGAAGGGACAACCTCTTTTCACTTGTGCCCTATGGTAGGACAAGGGGCAACGGATTCAAGCTAGAGGTGAAAGTTCCACCTCAATATGAGGAAGAACTTCCCTGTGAGGGTGCCAGAGCCCTGGCCCAGGCTGCCCAGAGAGGGTGTGGAGTCTCCTGCTCTGGAGACTTTGAAGACCTGTTTGGATGTGTTCCCATGTGACCTGCCCTGGATTCTGTGATCCTGCTCTGGCAGAAGGGTTGGACTCAATCTCCAGAGGTGCCCTCCAACTCCAAACATTCTGTGATTCTGTGTGCTACAACTATGTGGATAAAAGCATCCTTGGCAGTGTGAGGAGCCGGCATTTCGTTTGCTACCTGATGATATTCAGCCTTAAGAAACAGAGCTTTCCATAAAGGCTTCCCAGGGTGACCAGACAGACCAGAGAGGTGTCTTCTCCCAGCAGAACCCCACAGCCATGCCCTTTCCCACCTGGAACGTTCTCGTGTTCATGTTTCTTAAGATGCCGGTCCAGGTTGGTCTGCTGCCCAAAGCATCGGTTACACAGGTGACATTTGAATGGCTTCTCCTTGTTATGGATGTTCCGAACGTGCCGCTGGAGGTTGGAGGAAATGCTGAATGACCTGTCACAGTATTTACACCTGAAAAATAGAAGCAAATGTCAAAGAGTGCAACGTGAGTAGAAAAAAAAAAGAAAGAAAAGAGAAGAAAAATCTGACTATCAAAACCCCAGAAAATGTTGCACCTATAAATCTTTACTCAGCTGAGGACCTGGGAAGCAAAAGGCATTAATCATTCCAGACAAATCTGATATTATTGTTACTCAAGGAGCACAAAGAAAGGATTAGGATTAATTAAGATGCGAGTCGTCCAAACAAATAAGAATTTTAAGCAGAATAATTACTTTTCCACACATGAATGGAAAAATAAGAAAGGTGAATTTATTCCTTCCACCCTTCTCATTTTGTAGGGGAAGTAGGTGAAATATGGCTGTGGAGGGAGAAAAAAGAAGACAGAAGGAGAAGAAAGAAAGGAGGTTAAATGTATAAAATAGTTATTAGCTAGCATATTTACACGACACAGTTATCTGGACATACAGAAAACTCCAGATTTATTTGTGCAATTCCTTGTGGTCCTCAAGCTGTAGGCGGTACAGCATGCCTTTAAAGGTAATTATGGTTATTATTATAGTACAATAGCTCCCAAGAAATACACCATCGTTTCCAAACAGGATAAGATTTACTCCTAAGTAGTGGATATCTGGTTTATGACGAAAAAATGTGGAATGTAAGGAGCCAAGCCAGAATGTTTCGGGAAACTGCTGAGCGAAGAAATGTTCCCTCTTTGAAAGAAACGGCTGCAGGACCCACGGTGGATGTACTGGAAGCTTGTTCAAAGTTGCCACCCCGCTTTCTCCGGGCTCAGATTCCCTCCCAACAAAGCCAAGGCTCTGCTGAGCCCTGGTGCGCTCCTCCAGAGCCAGAAGACGCCCGACCGACTGAAGAGGGCAGCTTCGAGCCACCGAGGAGAGCTTCGCCACTAACGGCACCGAGATGGAATTCCTCTCCGAGCGCCCCAAAGCCCTCCGGAGGTGTCCCTTTAGATCGTCACTCGGGCCTGGCAGAGCTGCTCTCCTCGTGGCTTTGCTTCCCAATCGCATGGGAGGTGGGATCCTTTCTCTGCGAATCCCGGGCAAAGTCAGAACTGGTTTCAAGCCCTCGTAATTCCAGAACGCTCTGGAAGCCCAGCTCTAACGAAGAGCAAAGCCTGTCCCGCCGGGCTGAGCCGCTCCCCGACACGGCACGAAGCCGACGGCGCGCTTGGGCACGTTTCAGGAACGCCGGGGGCTCG